CATAACCTCTATCTAGCTACTAGCTAGCCATAGCTACCAATACTCTTGTAGTTCCATTCCAATATTGAAGAGACATCTAGTCTCTGGCTGTGGCCAAGCTGGTTGTTACATTATCAGATATAAAAGTGAAAGAGAAACAGTGGGTTCAGTAGTGTCAGCTTCAGATATTGAGAAATGATGGTGGGAGGAGCAGAATCTGTTGATGATGAGAAATAAAAAAAAAGAGTAAAGATCTAGAGCTGAAAGAGAAGATGAGGACAAAGAAGAAAAAAAAGATGAAATTCAAAACTGACTCAGTAAAAGAGGATAAGAATGTTGTGCAGAAGAAGTAGAAGGTAATGAACTTTTTTGCTGTTGAACTGGACATCTTGAGTAACTTTCTGAACCATCACAGGTGGTCTTAAGGATTGAGCCATGCATGTACTTAGTATAACCACAATATACTCTTTGGGCGCGCTTAAAGCGCGCTCCAAGATCTTCTAACATGTTTACTTGAGGTATGGGATTGTTGAGTTGTGAAAATCATTGAGTGGTCGGAAACAACATACATTCAACACCACCGAGTTCTCATTCTGCAGCTACCATTGCGGGATTTTCAGGTCCCTTGATTACGTTTAGCTGCAGTGTCGCGCGCAAGAGAAAATACCTCATTCTGGCGTCGTCTCTGGCATCTCAGAATGTTTTTCTTCCTTGCTTGCCACTATGATTCTCCATCTGCTTTCCCCTCGATCAACCACCAGGTCCGCTGTTACGCAGACACTGAATCACCATTCAACACAGAGAAGTAGCCTGGCCTCCCCTCTTTGCGCGCCTCGTCAACATGTGCTGGATTGTAGGGCGCTTGACTTCACCCTCCGTTCTTTTCTCTACCGTGATAGCACTTTTGTTGGGCTGGGTAGTGCTGACCTTGCCGTCCCATCATGCCAGACGCCTTCTTCCAGCGGCTCTTCTACTGGCGTCGGCTGCCTTCCACCATCAAAATGAGTTATCCTCGAATTTCCCTTGTCAATGAGATGTTTGGCCGGCTTCTCATCTTGTGGATTGCATACATGCCGTTTCTTGTGTACGTCAAAGGATACAATGGCACAGTCCATATCCTGCACGGCCAAAGACATCACCATACCACCATGCACGGCTGTGGTAGCAATGCCAGTTGTTCTCCGCGGCGATTGGGACAGGAAGGGGTCGTCACCTCCCAATGTTGCATTTACCCGGCCTTCAGAGATAGGGCGAAATGTGCCCTCAAGATGCTCTTCAATGGCCGAGGAATAGGCACAGAGTGGCAGGCACCCGCGCTTCCCGTTCCTCAGCGGGTGATGAATGACCCAGACAACGATCGGAAAATCCGCCGGCTGTTCATTGCACGCAGGCTCGTGGCGCTCATCACAAAATGCATGCTCTGGTCCCTTTGGTCAGATTATTCGGCCTCCGTGACTTCCATAGAATCACTTGATTACGCCCCAGAAAAGCACATTCTTCTCCAAAGGTTGTTCCACGGCATCTCGTCCAAGTACCTTGGAACTCCAACCCCCTATCCCGCTCACCCAGTGACAACTCGTGAAGTCAAAATCAGACTCTGGATGGTATTTTCAAACAATATCCAAACTCTCTTCGTCCTCAAAACACTCCACGATGCGTTCGCACTCCTTTTCGTCGGCATAGGTTGTGACACGCCTGATGAATGGCCACCCTTTTTCGGGAGCATCACCCATGCATACACAGTCCGGGGCTACTGGGGAAGGTTCTGGCAGGCCTTGGTACACAGGCTCCTAAGCTCGTATTCTACGCTCATTTTGCAACATGTCTTTCGCATTCGCAGACGCTCAATTTTCTCTCACGTCATCCACGGGTTCATCGTATTTCTCCTATCCGGCTTGATTCACGCAATCGTGGAACACTACTCAATGCCCGGGTGTGACACATTGCCCGTCGTGGTGTTCTACGTCTTACAGCCGGTGGCACTGACGCTTGAGACCACCGTACAGCATATTTGGTCTAGGGTGAGGCTACCCTTGTTGGAGACTCTACCCCACACTAGATTCGAATATGTCGCAACTCGTTTGCTCGGGTATCTGTGGGTGGCATTTTGGTTTTTCTGGTCAGAGCCCAATTACATCCTGGCAGTGCATTATTCCGTGACCAAGAGTCGAAATCGCAGATAGAGATTTAGCCACTTTGTAGAATCAAGTTACAATTGAAGCCAAGCTCGTTTCTCAGCAGGCCACCAGAGCTGACACTCTATGTAATTGAGATTCAACCAAACGGATTCACAATGCCACCCGTTCTAGCATACGACACGCCAATTTGACACGCAACGAAAGGTCGTCCAACTGAAATCCGGCTGTTAGATGACGGGCCCTCACATGTGAAATCTAAAGGCTCGCTTACATGATGTTTGGCAAAGATGTCGAAATGATGGCCAGGGATTTCAAGAACAGCAGACACCATGTCGTATCCACAATCCTCCCATCCCAACTTGCTCAGATTCCGCGCTACATCCACTCTCGCAACCGCGTGGGAGTTGTCCGCCGTAGAGACGGGAACATACTCATTGCAGCGAAGGAGAATGGTCTGTGGCACAGTGGGAGGCATCTCTCGCCAGGGAACATCCAGTTCTGTCACCGAGCACAGATGGCCGTATTCCGCGGGCATTCGGGCCGACAACTCAGCCTCCAGTGCCTGTCGTCGAAGAACATGACCGTGGTCGCTGCATCCCTTCCACACGGGTGGAACCCAGGCCGAGGCCATGGCGACCGCGAGATTCATACAGTTCGAAACCAGCTCCCGTGTTTCCGGTTTCGCGTGCTCGCCATACTCAATTTGGTAAGGTACAATATTGGGATTTTGAGGCGCGACCCGGAAAGGGTTGATGCTATCGACCATCACGATACCCAGAACCTGAATGTCAGAAGATCTGGCAAGCACGCTGGCAACTTCTAATGACAGTATACCCCCAAGAGACCAACCTGTGATGCCTGTCAGAATCGAATCGTCTGTGAGCGGAAATGAGCGTCGTTGGAGTCCCGATTACCTCCCAGGATGATCGGCCCTGACGCGATAACAGAGCGCACCAAGCTGGCGTAGACCCTCCCCATCTCTGACAGGCCACCTTTCCATGGCTCACCGGAGTAAAACCTGGGGTTTTGGATCCCATATACTGCACGGTCCAAGGGTTCGAGGTAGAAATAAGAGACCGTCGTGCCGCCTCCATCGTGAATCAACACAAGCGGCGGAGCAGACTCGAACCCGGTTGGGGCTGACTGGACCAGCATTATTGATTCCTCCATTGCGCCGGCCAGATTTTATGCAAGGCAGTGCGTGCAGAGATGGATAGCGGTGGGAAGTGAAGTCGTCGCAACTAACTATCGGGGGCATCACTCATCAGGTCACAGACTCGCACTTCAACTAGTTAACTAACCAGTGGTTACTCACTATTAGTTTCAACTCACTCGCTCCATAATCTGTTAGCTATTCCATTGCCTCCCAAGAGATGCATCAACAATGTCACCAACTCCATCAAACGCCGTCCAACGCCCGCCGCGCCCAAACAATCCCTTCTGCCCATCGCTTGGCGCCAAGTTCCGCTGTTCTCTGTCTAACGAATCAACTAGTTAACTAACCACCAGGCTCTCCGTACAGCCGCTCTGCCACCCGCATCCGCGTCCCTCCATCCTCCCTCACCGGCGCTCCTCTACGGCGTCCACCGTCCCAGCAGCGATGCACGGAGCCGCCGGGTGAACATCGCTTCCAAAGGTGACTAATGCCGGGTCATTACAGGCTCTCTTCGCTCAGCTGTTGCCCGGAGCCCAAGCGTCTTCAGATTCTTGGGCCGCGGAATGAACAGGTCATGCCTGACTTCGATATCCGCCCGCGTTGTGCCATACAGCTCAAAGTTGAATCTACGGAACATGCTCGCAATTGTGATGTAGAGCTGTGCCATCGCGAGACTACCATATTAAGCACGGAATCAGCCAGCTGCTTGTCCGCCTTCGGATCGAGAATCTCACCTCATTCCAATGCATCTGCGCGAGCCTTTGCTAAATGATACCAGGTACCTTTCCAGCCGCTTCCGCTTTTCCTCGCCCAACCAACGCTCTGGAACGTAGCTATACGAATCTGGGAATATTGATTCATCGTGGTGTTGGAGAATCGACGTCATCCCGATCGCCGCCTAGACGCACAGAGCTCGAATCAGCCACCAAATCCGTCGCCCAATCTGGAACTGGGATACATACCCCTGGCGGAATCACATATTCCTTATATGTGATGACTTGATTGTCCATTTTCCGCTGTAGTCGCGTACTCACCCCGTATGATAATCTAGTGGATCGAGCTTAGTACACCAGCCTGGCTCCCCCCTTTGCGCACCCAGGTGCTACTCACCGCAGGCCTTCGAGGATACATGATGACTGGCTCGTCGTTAACACGGATCTCACAAGCCTGTATTGTGGTCTTGGTACCTACCAAGTATGGGAGCTGCTCCAGCTCGCGTAGTTTTATTTCTCTGTCCGGATTAGGCTCGATACCCTCGAGCTCCTGTCGCAACCTCTGTGTCTTGCTCGGGTCGCGGAGAATATGATATACTGTGACCGTGAGTGCATTGGATGTGGTTTCGGTGCCAGCCCCAATTGCTGAGCGAATCTCCTCAGCAAGCCGCTCTGGTGTTTTCTCGTCATCGGGTAACTTGGAGTCCAGTATTTGATCTATTAACGTATACCCCCGTTCACTGCAAGCATTCCCTTTCTCCGCCATGTCACGCTGCTGTTCAACCTCCGCGATCCGCTGATATGTCCGCTGAACGAGGCTGAAGAACAGGACAAGCCCGGGATTCAGCGCTTCGGCCCATGCCCGGGGAAGACTCTTCAGGATTGGTAGCATCCAAGTCACTTGTCTCGACATCATCCCAAGCTCCGAAGCGTCCCTCAACGTTTGTCCCCAGTGCGGGTTCCAGTCCGTCGCCTCTAGGAATCGATACGAGCGCTTCAACACAAACGACGTAATCAAGTCCGTAGTCAAACATGTGAAACCGAGAGACAGCGGCACGATTTGCGATGTTTTCCCAAAGCCTTCGATCCTGTCGCAGAACTTTCGAACCAATTCTTGAACCAGCCCTTCGTGTTGCAGCACTTTTCCTCGCGAGAAAAATGGATTCATCGCCCCCCTGCGAAAGCGATGCACCTGTGCGCTCTCAGTCCCAAAGGACGATCGAGGAAAATCGAACGGCTTCACGTAGTAATAATACTTGTCTTTCGGAGAGCTGTGTGAGTACAGTGTGCTATAGTATTCTGGGTCGTTGATGTGCAGCTCATACGGACTGATACGGATTATAGGCCCTAGGCTATTGCTTAGTACGATCGTTCTCTAGGCGGACTGGGAACTCACCATATTTCTGGTGCAAATCCTTGATTTTAAAGGTATACTGGCCTTTTAGAATTACATCGTAATAGAACTCGTACCATAGAGTTGCCGCCGCCAGCTTTGGCCCGGGAAACCTTGCCAATGGAGAGAAATAAAGTCGATACACCACGACGCCAACAACATAAGCTATGGCGAGAATGCACGCCATAGTCAATACCTTGACCATGTCCATCACCATCTTTTGCGAAGCTGATATGTTTGACTCTCCATAATCCAGATCACCTCTTGCTCTTTAGTCGCGGGCTCACCAACTGTTTTGTAGGGCCCCAAACCATATACCAGATGTCTCGAATTTCAGTTATCTGTCAATATTCTTCAGCGATATCATTCCATAGAACACGATCGCCTTCTTTGAGCATCAGTCGATCACACCGTGACGTACCGAGATCGGCGGAGCCTCCAAGCCTGCCGCAGAGCGCCCGCAGTTCTCGAGTTTCAGCTTGTCAATATTGTCAAGAACAAGATGCTTTATATGCTTCATTCGGAACCTCTCGTTCCAGTGCACCGCGCCTCCTCGGAAATAGCGGGCCAATAGGGCAGCAACGAATGAAGACTGGCTTATAGCAAGGAGAATCGCGGTTGACTAAATACACACTCGCGCTCTCTGCCCAATGCTGCATCGTGCACCTGACTGCGGCAGTCATGCAAATGCCCGTAGTTCATGCGGTAATATATGTACAGTACAACATACATTGGACCCCCTCTTGGCTTTTTTGGCGTTGAGAAATGACGACTACAAATGTCCACATGGCCTTTTCTTTTGATTTTGTTCTTGGGCAAGATCCAACAGCGAGAATCAGTCGGTTTCAAAGGCCAAAGAGTGGCCGTGATAGTGGTAGATGCTGCCTCTTCGCATGCGCATTCGAATTGGCGACAAGGCAAAATGGGGCGCACGTAGTTTCAACCAACTAACTAACTACTCAGCTTCCTGTTCCAATGGCGACTGTGTTTTCGTGTAATCGCGCCTACGATAATCCATCGCGCCAGGTCCTTGATGCTGATATGCCCATGGCCTGCCCGTTCGCCCACCCAGCGGCTTCAGACTCGCATTCCGAGGGTCTTCTCAACCGCATAGTCCATGATTTGCTGGGCAAGCAGCCATCAACGAGCTGTCTCTTCAGCAGCAGTTCCGACCATCGTTTTCCCCACGTCGCATTGAGGGGTTAATATCTCCCGTCTTTGTTCCACGACGGGGGCAACGGAACGTTTCTTCCACGCTGGCCTCGAGAGAGGCTGACAAGCCCCGAATAGTCGGGCAAGCGATAATGTCTACGCGGAACAAGCGTACCAACGGCGATGTCTGCCATGTCGGCTCCCGCAGAACGGTTTCATGGTACAAGCAGCGTAGGCGGGTGGTCTTTCATTGGGCTGCAGGCCTGTGGTTCGTTCAGTGATGGTACAAAGGTGTCGAAGGAAATGCGCCCGTCCCCAAGCATCCCCCGGTCCCGAAACGACCCGGAGTTTTGCCCACAGGAATGGAAACGCATCCAACCAATGGATCAGCTAACTATTCCCGTCGCGCAACGGCATGACCCTCTGGAACTTCCGCCAGTTGCGGCCGTGGATTCGCTCCTATGGCACTATAGCGATAGCAGTATTATGACGAGTCAAATATCTCGACAGTTTGTCCCGGGGATTTTCAACGCCGGGACGACCCTCCGGCCACTCCCAAACAGAGATACATTTAGTTCTACCGCCTCGGAGAAAACTTGCCTTGGATGAGCGCTCGGGTTATATGGTATTCGTCAGTCGGTTCAGCAAACGTCAAAAAAATTTTCACCAGAGGATCGGCGTGCTACAGTGATGCTCTGCCGCGCACATCAATGGACGGTGATTTGTACCCTTTTCTTATATTGGGCCGACGCTTCGTTTATATCAGCTGTTGAACAGCTTCAACACACCTACCGCTCGGTGGCATCGGCCTGGACATAGAAGCTGCCATCATGGAGCCACAGATGATGCTGGCGGCTGTGCTCGATCGTTTGGGAGATTCTCAATGCCGCCCCCCAGGGCCTGAATTTCTTTTCTTTTCTTCCTGGCTTTCAGCTGCAGGTGCAGGAGATATAACCAGGTAGTCGAGACTTGGACCGGGAGTCCTTTGTGTCCACTTACCCGTCCAATTCAAGGCTGCGACATGCCGGCCGTGTCTAGGGCACATCACTACCAACTTACTCGAAACTCGCCAATGCAGTACTTATCATAGGATAACTCAACAATCGCTGTCGTCTGTATAATACACGCACCCGGTTCCGTCAATAGGGTGATCATTTGGCCAAAACGCCCTCCGCGTCCTTCAAAAGAAGCCCATTGATTGTAGCCATTCATAAACCCATCTCCATACCGAATCTGATGAAGTCCCCGTTTTTGGAACCCCCGCCATTCGCATTGATGCCTACGGGTTCGTGTTTTGGAAGCGGAGATGACTATTTCTCTCCGCAACCTCGTGAGTTACAACTTGGGCCTCCACAAACTGAATCACCAACATCGCCATTAGGAAGATAGCTAAGCAATGCCTGCAACAAGCATGTCTGAGCCAAGTTGCTTTGTGTGGCTCCGCCATTATAACTACGCCCGGAAATGAGGCAAAGAAAGCGCCGATAGGAATGCAGCGTCCGGCCCGACAACTGACAAAGGCGCTGGATGTGGCGCTGCCTTGGTGTGTTTGCTCGCTTGCTTGTCAACAGTGTGCATCCAGGAAAGATGGCCGTGCCTGGTTTTCTCTGATGGTGGCATGATCGCCGGCTTGAAAGCAATCGATCTGGCCGTCAAAGATGCCTCTCTTCGGGCGGAATGCTCCGCTCAAGGCCGTAAACGACTCGATCACCTCCAGCACGGTCTGGATAGACCGCTTCCCGGCCAAAGTACGAGTCATATCTACAAGACGGCGGGAAGGGAGGATGCATTTCTGGATACCGGAAATCAAACGGGCGATCTGCAAGAGGGAGACCATGGCCCGGTTCCGAGCACATTAGGCCTGTTCAAAGCACAAAAACCAAAAAGCCCAGCCCGTGATCGTTTCTTCTACAAGGCCTAACATAGGAGTGCAGGCAATTCTTGCAACTACTCGAGCGCTCAACAACGGCAGCTTCCACGACTACGAACTGCAATCTCTACATGGAGTGTCCTCCAGCAAGAATCCTGCTAGACCTGTTCATTGCCGCCCTTGAAAAAAGCCGATTGCATCGATCAGTCTGGACTGAAGGGAGAGTTTTGTATCCAAGACACCAAAAAAAAAAAAAAAAAACGTGGACCGGATTGTCCTCGAATCACAGTATTTCGCCCGGTCACAACATTGACAAGAGCATCATTTTTAGGTCCCAGTCAACCTCTACAAGATGTCCGGAATGCGGTTGCCGGAAAATCGCCGCTCGTCAAGCCTATCCCATCTCATTCCGAGACTTTTGGTTGCGGTTGGTAGATCTCTCGATGCATCCACAAACTTTCTTGTAATAGTGGCTTTTGCGGCTCGCGGTCACTATCACTGTGCCCATTGACCGAGCCCTGATGCCAACACCTGGTGCCCTCTGGCCGCGATCCTCGTTCTACGGGAAAATGTTTCAGTCAAAGGCACGTCCTCTCGTGACCACACAATTCGAGTGCGCGAGTTTTTGTCAAGCCCGCATAATTGCATTGCTATCACCCAGTCAAGCTTTCGATTCCATTTGAGGCGATGGTCGATCTTAACCAAAGCGTGTGCTGGAGGCCCTTCAGTCCTTTCCTAGGATCGACCCGTGTAACCTCTGCTTCCGCAGACTTTTCAGCCATTTTCTCCGATCGATCAAAGCTTCCAGACCTGTGGACGCGCACCAACCAAGCGTCGAAGCGGTCCCGCCTGGCCAAAGGCTTTTACCAGGTTTGAGAGCAGCCTTCCCAGCCTCTAAACAGAGGAATCATACAGCAGCCTTGAGTAAAAAGAAGCCGTGGCTGGGTCGCTGTGGTACAGGTCCCTGCATTGACACCGCCACCGCAGACACAAAAAAAGATCTCCGTTGGGCCATGGCACGAGAATCGACATGTTCTGGTAGTCTTGGTACAACCGGACAGGCCTCCGCATCCGATCGGTGCTTTGCGAATAATTTCATAGGCGAACGTGCCCTTCAACTCTTTGGAGGATTCCCCGTCGAACATTCTTCCTCCAATTTTCTAGTTGGTAATCAACAGGATGTCTCGCTTCAAGAGCCCCTACATCCTTCAATCAAATAAGTTCGCTCATCGAGAAAAGACTACCGGTTTCAGCCACCATAGAGGTATCACCTTCAAGACTTATTAATTAAGTGTCCAAAGACAAGCTATGCTAGCACTCCTCAATTGCAAAATTTTCTTCTTGCATTGAGCTCCTGGACTGCTCTGCGCGCGACAGCGGACTACCTGATATTAGCCCACTGGGAAGAAAATGAGAATAGATCCAACGCATTTCGACCGATGCAGGCGCTCTAATGAATCATAGCATTTTTCTAGTATTTTTATTTGTTCGGCTGAAGTGGTTAGGTTGAGCATTCCCTGGTGGAAATCCATGGGTTGGTTGCTTTAACATCAATCTCAATAATACAGACACTCAGCAAGTTATCCGTTCCGCAATGCGATCCCCAAATGCCCATTCTGCTCGTCTTATCCCAATTTCAGGCCTTGGTAGAACTGCAAAGAAAGTAGCTGTAGGTGTTGATTGGCGATGGGTAAACACTCCAACAAAGGGAGGGCCCTTTGATTGAAAAAATAAACAATATCCTCGGCTACAGCTAGGAACAATGAACACGCCGGGGTATAAATTATTGGTTGATGGTTGTTGACTATGTAGAGATGCTACCTTGGGTGACTGGAAAATTTCAGACAACCTTATCTACCTTTCCCCAAGCCAGATACCGTAGGCAGAAAACATTCCGTCGGTTAAAATAGGAAGTAAATGATTCGCATAAATGCAGAGGCGTTTCTCTTCCGTTCCTTCATAGCGTTATGTGCTTCCCAATCGATCTCACGACGGCCGGTGTCAACATCGATCTGACTGAGCTTCAGGAAACCCTCCCGTTTCCAGAGATACCCACATGCCCAGAAGAATAGGACGACCGGCATAGCAAGATAAGACTTGAAAAAGCCTTTCGCGTCATTGACGCCTCCGCCCAATGGCCAAATCGAGGTATAGAACTGTCAGACAAAGTTGGATGGTCAGCGAAAAAGAACTAGGAAAGGTCAAAATGAAACAGGTAGTCCAACTTACCTGTGCGATGAGGACAAGAACGATGAGGCCGAGTCCAATCCAGGAACCAACCACGCCAAAGGCAGCTTTGAAGGGAAGCTCATCGAGGGTGTGGCCATGGTACTTCCATGCAGCTCGGAAGCGGATATGAGCAAAACAGATCTATAAGTCTCGTTGTTAGCCGTGGCGTATGTTGTCATGGTGGGTATGGATAACTTACACTGCCCCAGGTAAACAGAGCAGCGAGACCAGACAAGGCAAGCAGCCAATCGAAAACCTCCACGCCGTCGGCACTTAGATTGACGTATGCGAGGAAAGAGAAAGCAATAAGAGTAACCGTCGAGGCAAGCGGGCGGCCAGCACGATCAATATAGGTAAAGATCTTGGGTGCATAACCTTGCTCAGCAAGGGCAGTCAACGTGCGGGATCCGCCGTAAACACCAGAGTTGCCAATAGAAAGGACGGAAATAAGAATGATAACATTCATGAAGCTGTCGAATCCAGTAAGTCCAGCATCCTTGGCTGCAATGACGAAAGGCGAAGCTGTAACATCAATGTATCCGCCTGAGCCAATCAGCCGCTTATCGTTGTAGTCGACAAGAAGCCCAATGAAGAGGAGACCAAGGATATAAAAGAGGGTGATACGCCAGAAGACCTGTTTGACGGCGGATGGTAGAGACTGGAGAGGTGTCTTGGATTCAGCAGCAGCCAAACCGACAAGTTCAGTTCCTGAGAAGGCAAAAGCGGCGGTGACGAAGACAGAGCATACACCTATATGGAGAACATGTTAGGCATTGAATCACGATTCACGGAGGATAGGGATGTCCATGCCTTTGAATCCGTTATTGAATGCGCCTGGGTTATACCATAGACGTGCGCCCCAGTATTCAGAATATTTGCCATTGCTCGGGCCACCGCCGAGGACACAGACAAGCGCAATGATCATGAAGATGACAATAGCTGAGAGTTTTAGGACACTGGACCAAAACTCCTCTTCACCATAACCGAGAACACCGAAAACATTGATCAAAATGATGGCGACAATAAACACTGTGATCCACACTCCGACACTGACGTCCACTTGCCAGTAGTTGATTGTCAGGCCAGCAACTGTGAGCTCAAGCGGTAGCACGATGGCCCACTGAAAAACATAGTTCCAACCCATTGCAAAGCCCCAAGATGGGTCAATAAACCGTGTCGAATAGGTATAGAAGCCTCCGGAGATGGGGTACATGATCGCAAGTTCACCAAGAGCAAACACGACGTTGAACATCATCTGGGATTCGGATAATTAATACACATCATGTGAGGCCGGTTTGGGATTGTTCTGGTTGGGCAACAGGAAGACTTACGACACCAATAATAAAGAAATCAATTAGCAATGTCGCAGGACCGCCATCAGCCAGTGCACCGCCAGAACCAACGAACAAGCCAGCACCAATACTTCCGCCAATGGCAATCATGTGCAAATGTCGGCCTTTGAGGGTCTGGTTTAGCTGATTTTGCTGGTCTGACAGAGTCCTCCTCTTGAACGACTCTGGTGTGCAGCCCATGCGGGTCCAGAAGCTGAGTTTCTCTTGCTGGAACGCGCCATCCCGAACAGCATCCTCGCTCGACTCATAGGCGGGCAGGTTGGCTTTGTCGTTGTCGGTGACAACGAGGCCCTTTTCAGACTTTTCCCATCTTTGCCGTGGAAGATGTTGCGCAAGCACCGCAACAAGGCCACTCCGAGGGTTAGGAACAAGCGAAAGGGATTTGCACGGAAAGCCCGGGGATATCAAGGGTAAGAAGAGGGAGAGATCAAAGGCGAAATTCGCGGTACTCCGCAGGTAGATATAATAAAATTTCGCGAGGAAAGTAGCGCGAAGATGAAATTTTGTTCAATCCCCCTGGCTAGGATTCGGGGAGGAATGGGGAAAGGAATCGATGGCAGGAGGACAACCGGGGGTCCAGGGCACCTTGATATGGTCACAACGCCAGAAACCGCCAAGCAGCAGAGCGGGTGCTTGCAAGTTGACGTTGAGCTATCAAAATCGAGGACGTGAATCCAAAAACGCCAACACCGGCCAGTGCAACCCAAGATCAGCCCCCGGAAAATGGGGAGTGAAAAGGTTCGATCCCATCGAGGATCACAAGATTCACGAGCAGAGATGCCCAGCCAGGCGAGTTGGAAGGGACACAGGAATAATCCGGTTGATAACGTCGGGGTTAGCGCGAGAATGGTGGGCGATAACATGCCGAGTCCCCCTCTGCAGGGCATGGGGTGTGGGTACCCCTGCTGGCGGAGCCAACAAGTCTCAAGCCCAACCATGATTCCATGGACTGCTTGTTCGTCGACAATAAATCATCAAATGACGAGGAGATTAACCGGAGCTAAGGCTGGTGGCATGACGATCGCGTCAGGACGACTCTTGGCCGCGAACGAGGGAGGCAAGCGGGGGCGACTTGGTGCTGCACAGAAGAAGTCTGGAATATGGCACCACGGCCAGCCGCGAGGGCCCAGGAGACACGATTGGCCCCGTGGCGTCTCGAGCCATGATAACCCGACCAAGTGAGCCACAGCGAGATGTTTTGCGGAGGAAAAAGTCCGTCGATTTTTCGCAGCGGGAGGAGGTGCCAAGCCCGGCTGGGGCGGCGGACCCGCGCTGATTGGCCGGAGGCTTGTGGAGCCACGCAACTCTAAATGCATTAGCGTTTTTCCAGAATGACTTGGCAGGCTTCGGCGCTAGGCCGCATTTGCCACCGGTGTTTCGTCGCGAAAGATTTGCTGAGCAACCAAGCAGAACAGAAAAAACGCAGAAACAACGGAATCCGTCTTGATTTGAGGGCGTCTCAGGCTCAAGCAGCAGCGCAGCACCCTGACCTTGCGACGCCAAACCGGCCTGACCCTGTGGTGCAAAGTCGCCGGGGCAAATGCGACCGACCGCGGTCTCGGGACGACTCTCGAGTCTCCACGGGCTTCACAATAATTATTCTTTGAACTTGGAATTCATCTGGACCAGCTCGTCCTCAGCCTTAGTTATCTTAGTGTGTGTGTGGCGTGGGACCCCAGAGATCGGACATTTTGGATGCAGTTTGCGCTTGGCTCCGTCGTGGCTCTTCGAATGCCTTTGTATTTTAGCGAACAGTCGTGACTTGGTTGCTGAGGCGTCCGTGTCCGTATTCGTACCGGATACCAATGATCAAAGACCTTTGACCTGTCTGTCAATTGTCAAAGAGTCCTCACTCCTCAGCCCTCAAGTAGCGAAACACGTCCGGCTTTCCACGCGAGACGGAGCACATGCAAGCAAATCCTGTCCTAGGGGAAGTCGGCCTTTCTCGCCCAAAAATCTCCCTTTCTCTTGACTGCAGCAAGCTATTTCCCAGGCTCATAATAATTGCCGCTTGTGGTTGCAGTTTGATGGGTCTCGCCGCAAGATTGCATCCACTATTATTAGCATGTTGTTCTTTTCCCGGCCAGCGAGTAACATCACCCGCTCTGATTTCAAAACAGGAGTCTTGGGTTACATGGGGAGATCACCAAACTCAAGGCTAGTGCACAGCTTGGTGGGCCATGGAGGCACAGAACAAGCTTGTGGAGAGATCACCTTATTCCTCAATGCGAATCATACTGTGAGGGGTTCGCTTGAGAACAAGCTGGTCATCAACTGATGATAGTTAGCCGCCGTCAAAAGTAGTCGTTGACTAATAATAAAAGCAACCTCAACGGCATCCTTCCCACACGTTTTTCGCAGCATCATCTCCGCCTAGAACCACCACGGAACCCGATCTCCATTCTTTGTCTGCAGGGGTTGCGGGCGGGCAGTTGACAGGATAGACCTCTCGTCCCGCATCCAGCCGCGAAGAGGACCTGTTAAAGAGGCTCGGGCGACGTCCCTCTCAAGCCTCGCGGAGCACCATTCAACTGGAAAGCGGATGCGTACCGTTTCCACTCGTCTCCGTCACACCCCAGCAGGTCATAGTCCTTGGCCTAATAACATGGCTGGGGGCAATCCCTCAAACACGAACGCTAGTGGGCTTCTTTTCCAGTTGACAGCTGCGCGAGATCCTCTCCGTATCTCAACCGGCTCAAGTAGTGGCAAAATGCTCCAGAACCAGCAACCAACCTTTTCGCCCTTCTCCGCAGCCGTTTATCATCTGGGGATTGCTTCCCCAGGATCCATCCATCCCGCCCCAAAAAGGATTCAGACATCGAGCGCTCCTGGAGGTGGATTGTGTGGGGAACCCCAAAATTGCTGGTCTCGGGGCTCTCCACGACGCTGGGATGCAGTCGACAGCACGACAAGGTTGTCTGCTTCTCCCTGGCACCGGCGACCCCGGGGATTAATCTCGTTTCCGCGAATTATGGCGGACGAAGGACAAGTGATCAAACCGTTTCGCCTGTTATTGGCCACGAAAGCGACCAGGAGGTCCAATCAAAAAGGCCGTTGCAGGATGAGAAATGCAGTTGCAAGAGGAATCATCGTGATAATCATATTTGTCCCCCAAACTCTGCAACGGTGGGCAGGGTAACAATCTCGACAATCCCTGCTGCGCGCTGGTACCCAACGCCTCAAGGCCTGCCATTCCGTTGGCTGCTGTTTCAAGCAGAATGTTCTTCCCAGCAATCGCATCCTTCCAGAAGAATCATCGCCGTTCTTGGTTGCGTCGAGGCCACGAGCTCCGTTTGTTGATCCCCAGCCACGAGATGGTTTAGAAAACATATCTTGTGATGTAAATCTTCCACTTCAATTAACTCTTGACGCCTGTGAAACAAGCGGTTGCAAGGAAAGGGAATACGACTTTTAATAGTCCCCAGAAGGATCCGCATGCCCACAGCCAAATGAAATCATGATTCGGAGGAATAACTCAAATCGCATTCTTTTCCATTATCGGAGGGAACATTGCTCTTTGGGCACAGCTTTACATCGACAGCCGTTGCTCCCGGGGCTTCCGTACGGCCTCCGGGCCTCATCCTCATGAGCATCGATACAGAACCTGATATATATGGTCTGCGCGTCCTGCTGCCACCTCCACTGAGCCCAGCTGCATTCTTGACACAATATCCGTAGTCTATCACTGTCCTCAGCCGTGCAGATGGCGCTGAAAGCTCCAAGGATTTCTAGGTCTCTCGCCTGGCAGTTTGCGTGATGGTCAAGGTAGTTTGTTATACTCTTTTGTCCAGTGCATCTAGAGAGCGAAACACGGTGTGTCAGCTCAACTCGCCTGTAGCTAGCAAAAAAAATCCAGAGGACGAAAGGAGACACACCGGCTGTGGTGCACCACGGCTGGGCTGCAGGTGCTCGTGGTTGCGTTGCTCGACCTCCTCGTTCTTCCTCGCCTGTCGGTTGGCAACATCTTCACTTCCTCCAACCCACCACCGGGAATCTTGAGAACCGCGCAAACGGATCAATCCCTGAGCTGTCAACCGCCCTCTCCACACTAGCTACTAACTAGCTATTCTCGCAAAATCCCCGCTCTCGACGCACCCAAGAGACCGTCGCTCGCTGGGAGAACCTCGTCCACCACCAGGACAGCGGCGATCAAAAGCACAGCCATGCCAGAACCGGTGTCTTTCCCACCTCCACCAGTGCCCACCATTGGTAAATGAACCTTTTGAATGCCGCGTCTGCTTCTTCCAGCTGCTCATTGTCTGAGTGCTACTGCTGTTCTGTTCTGCTGTCCAAGTTATCTGTGGCTGGTTCCACGCTGATTGGCAACACATTGAGTCTCACACAGATTGGAACAACATCGGGTTCAAAGTCTGGGAAGGTAACAGGGCCCCTGAAGCTGCCGCCGAGACCGTCGCTAACTTGTTCCTTCTAGTCAATGGCCATGTCGAGTCGCACTTCTCCCGCTCCGCCAGCCCTCAATGGTCGCCGCCGCAGTTTGTCGCCTCTCCGTACATTCCTATCCATGGAATGGCCCCCGGTTTGAACTACGGGCAACAAGCATATGAAGGGATGAAGGCTTTTCGCCATGCGTCGACTGAGTCGCACCCGAATGGTCGTATCACCATCTTCCGCCCACAAAGAAATGCCGAGCGCATGAAGCACTCTGCCCAGTTCATATCCATCCCGCCGGTGCCGGAAGCCCATTTCCTCGAATGTGTCAAGCTAGCCGTGTCCGCAAACGCCGGCTACGTCCCCCCTCATTCCACCGGCGCTGCAATGTACATCCGGCCCCTTGTCTTCGGCTCGTCAGCCCAACTCGGCCTGAACCCGCCGGATGAATACACTTTTGTTGTTTTTGTGATGCCCACCGGCGTTTACCACGGTGTGCACGCAGTGGACGCTCTGATTCTCGAGGACTTTGACCGCTCAGCTCCTGAGGGTACCGGCTCCGCCAAGGTCGGCGGAAACTACGCCCCTGTGCTCCGGCACAGCGAGAAAGCCCGTACCCATGGGTATGGCATCACACTCCATCTTGACAGCAAGACCCGTTCCGAGATCGACGAATTCTCCACTTCCGCCTTCATCGGCGTCCGCAAGGATGCGTCTGGTCATATCACGCTCGTCGTACCAGATAGCAAGAATGTTATCGACTCCGTCACTGCCGCATCTGTCGTGACCATCGGGAGCAACATGTTCGGCTACAAGGTTGAAAAGCGCCGTATACCCTACGACGAGTTGAAAAGCTTCTCCGAAGTCATGGCGGCTGGCACGGCTGCAGCGCTGGTGCCGATCAAAAGCATTACGATGGCATCGCGGAATGACAAGTTTACCTATGAAGCCGGCGAAGCCGATGCTGGTGGTGAAGTATACAAGAAACTCATCCAGGCTTTGAAAGGTATACAGCGAGGCGAGATTGCCGATAAATTGGGCTGGTTGGTCGATATTGAACCTACTCCTGCAGGCTGGATGGACGCTGCCGGAGATAAAAATGTTGGCACCGACAGTGCCAATTTGCCATGATTTCCTTAGGCGTCCCCCTTTCTCTCAACTGACAGTTTGCTATTTCAAAAGAGTTTCATCACTCTAATCAGCAGAACGACGCCGCAATGAAGAGTCTATGAATTATTACTGGAGCTAGATAAAACATAGCAGCAGTGCAGAGCTTTTCCATGGCATTTCGGGTTTGCATATATAGATTACTGCAACTTTCAACAAAGTTCAATTTTTTCATTTGTCAAAAAGTTAGTATCATTGCATTTTTGAATCTTCCTCGTTGATATTAGTTGCTGTTGTTGCTACTTGATTCCTATCATACAATAATCAACCTGAGATACATTAGGGTATTATCCAGATAACAATCACTCAAGCCTGATTGAATCACATTGAAACAGTTGAACAATGACCATTTGCCATTATCTCATTTCTCCCTTGTTTGCTATTCCTTGATTTCCCTTGCTGTCTGGTCAGGCTACTGATAAAAGCATGACACACTTAGAAATAAGGCCATAGACCGGGAGATATGTCAATAGCCATATCCGAAGAAGAGAAGAATAGAATAAACACGAAAAAAAAGAACCATGCCTCGACTTCAACCCAAACAGCCTTAATTAGAGGGTTGGTCTCTGAATGAAACGCGCAAGTACTCCGCAACTAGTACTCAGGCAAAGAAAAAGTGATTTGGCGGGCTCAGCCACAACGGTCTGACTTCAAACATGAGTGACACCAACGGAGCAGGCGGCACGGGATGGGATATTGGGTAGAACGTCTCGATGCTAGCAAATATCAAATCAAACAGGCCATCGAGAAACCGAACAACTCGGTCTAACAGATGGAAAAGCAAAATCAGGGTAAAATACATACACGTCAAACAAAATATTAAAACCTGAATGGTGTTGTTGAAAAGGCGAGTAGCCAGTGTTCCTTAGGGAGTACAATTTATTTTATTTCATGCTGTTGCGTTCACATAGTCACACTTGCCATAGGATGCACGTTTGGAGCCGACATTGGAAGTTAACGGTGTTTTTGGGTTTTTTTCTCAATCAATTCCTTGAATGCTTTCAAGGAGTACCGGCGTGGCTTGGGTTTGGAGCGTGGAAGAGGGCTTGCAGTTGGAGGAGACGCATCACGAGGAGGGTTTCGCTGCGACGGAGCCCTTGTACGTAGACCTTGCACAGCACCACAGCTGTTTATTTTAGTCCTTTTCTTCGGAGATTCTTCGAAGTGATTTGATGCAGGGAGCGATGTGTGCCATCCCCGCCGTTCAGAGGATCTACTCTGGGGAACCGGCTCTCCATGGTGATCGTTATGACACTGGTAGAGCCGACGAGAGGAGCGACACCGAGGAGGAGCTCGAGT